AAGAGCAATGGCTCTCACTTCCTATTGAACTGATAGACCGCATAATTGAAAGCATCACACATCGCTGTTTGTGCTGTATTGCTTCTAGAGGCAATCATATTCCATATTAAAGGTACTTTTTCTATTGCAAACCGATACTTCCAATTTGTTTATTTTATACATGTGCTAATTTCTATACTACTATTAATGTCTGATAATTTCTTTTTATGTTGTTTAATACCTTACTATGTGTTGTATATTGTGGGTAAGTTTCATAAAATTCCATGTGTAATTTCTTGAGTTATCGCGATTTTTGTGAATTTTCCTTAATTTATGATAACCAGTGTAATTTTTTATGGCACTGAGTTGAGTTAAAAAGCTACAAATAATTAAGAAATTGCCGTAAAAAGCGGTGCACCTAGAAAGAGTCGTCAGAATGAAACGAAATAACAATATTGATATGAGTGATTAAAAAATAAAAAAAGAGTAATTTCTTAATAGAAAAGTATACCAAAAAATTGAGGGTTTATTACCCTCTTTTCTAGCCAACTTTAGCGTGAATTTAGGATGTGATGCAGTCAGGCATTGAGACATGCAAGTTCTTTACAATATCCTAATGCACCTCGTTCCACAGTTGCTGTCAAAACACCTGTCGATTGACTAAACTCGGAGGATGTCAAACTTTCCAACTGGTCCAGGTATGCTCGTTCGGTCACAAATCCGGGGATCAAGCAGGCCAGGAAAGGAAAGAATTATAGAGGAGACATTCGTGGGACAACCTTTCTGGGTGTGACTGAGAATTGTTTAACTTTATAACGGCCGTGGAGGATTTCTTGATGGAGCTAACCCACATTTGCGTACGTGGAGAGGAAAACCACGAAAACATCCCATGGTGAGTCCGACGGCAAGGGCCATGAGCCGTCTGTCAGTGAGGATATTTTACGTATCAGTGAGGCAGCACATAAAGCTGAAGGGTGTCACGAACTTACCACTGGGCTGTCATTGGGCAGTAGATCAATATTAGGATGGATATTGTGTCGTATGCATTAGCACTCCATTAAAATAAGGTGTGCGAAAATATTTAAGGTTACTATTTCGAACAATATTAGGATAGCGGGGAAGCTAAGTTATTAAGTCAGAAATTATTTCTTCTTTATTTTTACGCATAGAGCATTCGTTTGATAAAAATATCATAATTTATCTGTCTAAATCATCTATTTCACAAAAACACACTTCATTGTATTTAAGTTGTTAAATGGATAAGATGTATTTACAGGAATACCAAATAAATGCATGAAATAAGATAATCATAAAATTCGATAAATATATCTTGAAATTATTAATTTCTTAACAAATACATTAATCATAAAATTTAGTTTAATTGTTAGTTTTTTTTAAAAAAAAAAGACTTAAAAAAGATTTTTTTTTTTTGCAAAACATAATTTTTTTTAGATTAATTTGAATTTTTTATAATTTAGTTTTGATCGAAATCTAATATGCTTTGAGTCAGTTTAGGTAGAAATAAAATTAAATAAAAATTTATAAATACGTATGAAAATCTATTTACCTGAAGAAGGCTAAAAAGATTAGGATAAATATCCTTTTGCCAACTTCCGACGTAGGATGATGTTCTGCCAAAAGCTTGGTTGGTAAGAAGCTCCAGAACCATCATTCCATACGCCCATAAATCAAACGCTTTGCCCTCAACTACTGCCTCACTCTCGAAGGCCTCTGGAGGCCTATATATATACGGCAATCCAAGTTCAGATCTGCAAAACAAAATTATTCTTTTACCACACTCAAACCGAGTCAAAACTCATCCTTCTTAATAAAAAAATGAAGAAAGTTTAAGAATTCAAAATCTTACTCAGCCTCAAGGTGGCAAACATAACAATACAGTTTTAATGAGCTTTGACGAGAAAAATGAATATATAAAGGCACAAGAGTAATTAAAAAGTAAAGCTTGAAGTGTACATTTTGTATTTTAATATTCATTTTAGACATATTTTTCTGTGTTAAAGTTAAAATTTATGTAAAAGAAAACATTATATTCATTCCATTTTGAAGTCCATTTCAAAACTTAGCATAGCAGTGATTTAAAAAAATAGTCCCACCGTAGACTTATGGTAAGGCACGGTTTTCAGTAGATTTTAGAAGTTAGCATCTCTGGTTGCTTTCGGTGAGCAGGAGGGTGACCTCTTTGATCAGTTTGCGAGGAGACCTAGTGTATGGTATCGGTACCCTGTTAAACTATTTTACAATAAAGTAACTTCGAGAGCAGGTAGTTGGAGTTAAAACTAGGGAAGCCATTCCATCTGCTGATAAAAATTTGCTTTTTTTAGTGTTAAAAACATGTGTACTGAAATATATTTTAAAAGAAAATCTTAATAAAAAAATTATTATAAATGTATTTTGTGTTTAAATTTCGATGTAATAGTGAAAGAAACTGGATTGTTATCGAATTAGTGACTCACAATATACCGATTTCATTGAATAAGATAATGCATTAAAAGCTGTTGTTGTAATTCATTTACGTCGCGCTAGAGCTCCGGAATGGGTGACGGTTTTGGAAGCAACTCTGTGGATGATCCGAAGACATGCTATCACAATTTTGGTTTTCTGTAGAAAGGATGGAACTCCCGCTTCGACGACCCGGCGGTCTGCGAGCAAAGTAAAACCGGTTGTGCACTAGTTTGTTCTCAGTGTAAATATGGCAACAAGATTATAAGCTAATAATAATCTTAATTATACTTTAAAACTAAACGAGTATTAAAAAAAAACTGAATTAATTAACTGAACTTAAAATACTCTAAGCAATGTATTGCAACAAGCTATAAGCAAATATTTAATTGCTCACCTTGGTATTGCCTTCGATGTTGAGGCAAGGAAAGTGAAATCGCTGATAACAGCTCTGTTATCATACGAAATCAAGACATTATCTGCTTTTAGATCCAAGTGACCGGTCTCGTTTGAGTGCAAATAATTCAGACCACAAAGAGTGCCATGAAGCCATGATTTTAAGCAGCCTAGGGCACCTGATTGATTAAAAAAATGCCTGTCTAGGACAGTATGTAGCAAAGTGTTCCGCTGAATGGGCATCACAAAAATAGCTACATTCGGGCTATGGAAGTTAAGGAGGAGGGGGATAATGTTTGGATGAGACAATTTTGGCCAAATTTCAATCTCGCTTTTCCTAGCGACTTCTTGGGGAACAATTTTCACGGCAACTTCTCGGCCAAATAAGTCAATCATTTTGCATACGTCGCCAAAGGAACCAAAACCAAGTTTGCTCACGCATACAAAATGATTGTCATCCAAGATCTTCATGGCATCCCTTATGTGGTGGTGAGGTTGACCTGAAAAATCAGGATGTTTATATAAATACCGGCCACACTGCATGTTATCAGTGATATTTCCGAGCTCTCTCGAACTTTTTAACAATACGCAGGAAATAATTCCCAAAATCAATTTGCTGTAAAGCAAGAACTCTAAGAAGCACATTCAATCTTGAAAGCACAAGTTAGAATGACCAAAAATGGTTTTACACAAGATCAGATTGTTTTTTAACAATGATAATTGCTCATTGTTCATACACTGACAAGAGATATTTAATTGTTAGTAGCTATCAATTTTATTTCAAGAATGAGATGCCTTGATTATTTTTTTCTTCATCTATGAAATCAGAACTAATTGTTAGAAAGTGAAATGAATAAATTTGAAATTAATGTTATTTAAAATGACATAAAATAGCATTTAAAAGTGAAATAAGAATCTTTCAATACTTATTATATAACTCTTCTATGCCATTCACTATTCATTTTTTTAGAAAATTTGTTAAAAAAGGTACTAAATAATACATAAGGAATCTCACATCAAATTAACCGAAATCTTAAATAAAAGCTCTACTTTGTTTATTCTATTCCTCTTCTAATTTGTTTCCTCAAAGCTTATTTTTTGGTAAAATAGAACAAGTTAAATGAAAAATAATAAAAATAAACACTTCTTTTGCTACATAAGAGAAATAGAAGATAGGTTGAGATAATTCAAGCATAAAAAAACACGTACAGTTTCAATTTATTCTTATTAAAACTTTCATTTTAAAGATTTTCCAGATGAGTGAAATTTCAAGTTATAGACTTATTTCGGATTATGATAAGAAAAGCTCAAATATAAATTGCAGGAGTTATAAATCCTGTCTTTTAAGTTGTTAATGACCTGGAATAGCTTCCTAACTCTCACTTTAGCAGCATACCCTTATTTTATTCATTTCATAATGAACGGCTTATTGATTACAAATTAAAAATAGCATTTAAGTTTAAGAGATTTCTTTTTAATCAATCTTAAAGATGCATTTATACAAGAAAATTGAAAAGTTTCGAAAATTAAAATTTCGAATTTTAATTAGAAACGAATTTTAAATGCAAATAAAATATGAAAAATAGCAACATATAAACCTTTTAAGCATTAATAGATATTTGGATGAACAGTTGAAAATTAACTAAATAATTATAACTAACTAAGATAGACTAAATGAGATTTTTTTAAAAAAAAATTCTATATATAGTTTTCTATAAAAGTTTGTTCACATGCACACCTATTTTAAGACCACCAGTTTTTTTTTACAAAAGTATACAAAGTATGAAAATAAATAAAAATTTATGCTTTTGAAGTATATAAAAAATTATAAAAATTACACAATTTATCTACTTTTATGGACATGATCCGGACATAGGGGTTCCATAGTAAATGAGATTATTTAAAAAACTGTCGATGATTATTTCTGGGCATATATGGTGAGTGTGGGTTTATATGACGCCATATTTCAACTAGATACCAATTTTAAATAAACACCACAGTGCAAAAAGAAAAATCATATTGTATAAACTTTTATTGTCACTAAAAATGGACAAAACAATTTTTTTAAACATATTTTTCTTTTCCTCCAGTTTAAATATTGATGCTAAATCGTTAAAACTTAATATTTTCACTAATTAGCTAGCAATAAAATCAATAATTTTTTCCTAATTTTTCTCAGTCCTCTTCCAGCTCACATGTCCCTTATGTCCCTGATACTATACGTGCAGCAACTCAAAATTAAAAATTACATTGTTATGTTTTAAATCAATTGATTTTGGTCACTCACGGTCTACTTATTCACTTAATAAATATTACATGATTGGTATGATTTAAGGCCAAGTGACATGCATCAGTCAATCAGTTTTGTAAATCGTATTAATTACAAACCTTGCGAAAAATATTTATTTTTAATACTTACTGTCCTTCTATTAACAAAAAAATAATTGTCATAGTTACAATTTCATGGGAATGTTACAGTTACTTATTTATTTATATCTCTTCATCTTATTATTTTAAGCATGATATTTCAAACCCTTTATTTCATAACGCGAAATTTTCAATGATTTTTTTTAGAATTTGAATATCTGTTCAAAGAAAATTGTTTTTTTAATGTCTCAAAAATTTCCATTTTCGTTCAGAAATTATGTCCCGCAGTGGGTTGATCGTAAAGACAAGTTTTTTCAAATGTGAGAGAGCAGAGTGGAAACCCCCGCTGTCCTAGCAGCTTTACAACAAACATTCTTTCCCTTGTCCCGAAGTGGATTGATCGTAGAGACACGGTTCACAGTAGAACACTGAAGTCAAGCATCATTGGCTGCGGTCTTTAAAGGGTGTGTGTGACCATTTTGATCAGCCTGGTGTGTGACTGAGGGTGCGCGGTATCAGTTTCTTCTCTTGCAAGTCGTCGGGCTACCAAAGCAGGGGAGCCATTCTCTCTGCAGAAGATCAAAATTGCGTTGGTATGTCTTCGGATCATCCTTAAAACGTTCGCCAATAGTCCATTGTGCAGCTCTAGTGCGACGTAAATAAATACGTACCTTTCAGAAATTATAATTTTCTATGTGTTTCTTTGTTTACAGTGGTCGTTGCTGATATGCCTGACATTAAATTTTTTGAGGGGGACAAAAAGCCTCCTTCGTTTCGTTTTGCTTTTTGTCGTAATCATTGAAACTGGTTTATTGGCTTATTTTTCACAAAATCACAAAATGTTGACGTTTATTTCTCTTTGCCCATTTATTGTTTTATTTTATTTTATAATCTAATGGCAGATTAAAAGACATCTGTAAACGGAAAAACATACAATAAAATTGGAACAAGAAGCAGAGATAACACTAATAGTAATTTCAGAAATTAATTTTTTTTAATCATTCTTATCCTGTTAAAATTAAATTAAATCAATTATTATTCTTTATCACATTTTATATAAAGACGAATATAAATACTTTTATTAAATTTTTTTTAATTTTGCAAACGCTAACTTTCCAATTCAATACAAGTGTATAATTCATAAATTCAGTGTCGCGATTAATCGAATACCAATGATTCTTAACTTTATTTTTCTTTAAGCTACTTTTCTTCTTTAGCCAAAAATGTTTCAGCTACAGGGTTATATTAAATTTTAACAACCTTTTGGGTGATTAAGCTGTAGCCAGATTATTTAAAAATGAATGTAAATAATGAGGGATTGGCTTTATTTTTGTCTATACTATCTATCAATAACTCGCCAAAGTTTGGATCTCTACGCATACTCTCAAGTGTCGATTGCAAGTATGCACAACTGGCAATTTTTAAAGTTTTGGAGTTAGGATTGGGCGGTGTTTGGCTGTCCAATGGCCCCTCAAACCGATCGTTAATAGTGCTTGAAAGTTTTACAAACTTTTAATAAGAAAAAAGGGATCTGTCTTCGTCTTGGGAACAAAATGGCCTAATATTTTATTTTGTTTATTTAATATGTTTTTGAATTTTTAAATGTGTCTATATTTGTTTTGTACATTTAAAAAAATGCTCCATAATAAAGCAGGATGATATTCTTTGTTCGATATATCTTTGCAGTATTCCTTTTTCGCTACAAAAGCAATGCTGAATTGAAATTTCCATGACTACGAATTCTTTTATGATAGGCTTTATCAATGTTTGTTAAGACGCTTAACATGAGGATTATTAAATATATTACCCTTCCCTGAGAAAAAACCGTACCACTGTTAGTTTACAATAGCATCACAGTACTCATTTAATTTAAGAAATTGTTAGTTTAGAAATTCACTTCATAACATTAATAGAGTTGAAAACAATTATTTCATAATTTAGAAATACACAAAAAATAAACTTATCAGTAGCTCTGGAACAACACTTGGATTTTAAAAAATATCATTGTATGATACATCGATTTTGTGTTCTTTTTTGGAAAGAAAACTTAGTAAAAACACTATTTTTACCAATAGATCGTAGACTCTAATAATCACAATTGAAATAATTTAAAATTGTATAACCTGCAACTCAACTGACCGCAAATATACGTTACAAAAGATCCGGAATCGATGGGGAAAAAGAAAGAGTAAAGGGAATTTTCCCATTTGTCGGTTCGAGTCACCGAGAAATAATCGAATCTCATGTCACTTGTCCCTGATAAATGGTTTCTGGAAGTTCTTAAAAACTTTGCTGTTTGAATGGAATTGGTTTTCGTAATAATAAGGTTAGAAGGAGAAAGTACTGAATAGTTTAGCATTTGAAATGGGTCTCGTGGTTCAGTGACTCAGTCTAAACTAGACGATGTTATGTTTCTTCTGTTTTCAAATTGAGGGTTACGATAGATTTGTTTAAATTAAGTAAATGCATTGTACAATGTTGATATTTTTTTATTGAAATTTGTGAGCAAGTCATGTTTTGCATATTTGTTAACAAATTATAACTATTTGAGAATGCAACATAATATTTAACAAATGCTTTTTTAATCAATTTTAAGAAAATAATGTATTTCTCTTTTCACTCAATTTTTATTTTTATTTTTCCTAAGCTCATAACCAATTGATGACTGTGTCCCTCTTATATACTTTTTTCTGACGCTGTAATTGGACGTACCACTGTGCTTCAAAGGGTTAATTATAAAAAACAGTCTTATAAATACTAAAAAATCTGTTAGATTATCGGAATTATATTTGTACTAAAATATTAAATTCAGAAAAAGTAGTTTGGAATTTTTTCTCTCATTCATATTCAAAAATTTAGCAAGAAATGATTTTGTTAATTTAAGAAATTTCAATGCGGAACAACTGTTTCTATTAGATATAAATAACCGCTAATAAGTTAAAATTATAAAAACTGCTTACAAGTGAGCGTGTTTTTAAAATTTTACAGTTAACGCAGAAAAAGACACCAGTGTTCCATGTAGTATTTCATAATTATAAATTATTAATAAGCTAAATATAATATTTTTTCATTTGCTTCGATCGTAAGTAATATAAAAAAATAAAAAATGTATGATAAAATAAGTTGTATGAAAATTCTGAGTCAGAGTCATAAATAAAATAGAACTTAAACGAAAA